ATTTTTTGGATTTTTTTGTTCGCCAATTTTGTTGTGATTTATTTTTTTTGTATGTACGAGTATGACCATCATGTCTGCTTTGCAATTTGCCAAATCAATCTAACATTGAACTTGAACTGAAGTAAACCTGGACCAAGCCTTTTGTTGAGCACCGAACAACCATCAAGTGGAGATCAATTACCACTTCATTTTGGACAATTGTTTTCAAACTACAATTTAGCTTGAATGGTTTTGGCTAATTAAGAGTACTTGAAATTTTGAGGCACTTCAATTCAATACAAAATTATAAACAGTTTCAATAAATTGTTAGCTTCTGTTTTTACACCACAAAAATAGCCGAATCATAAATTAATCAAATCAAATTCGAGTATATATCATAGTAATTAATTATTGATCAGTTTGCCGGAAGGAAGTGTTTCAAAATATGATTAATAATTATGGTCATTAAATTGACGAGAGACCTCCTATGTTTATAAAATATCAGGAAAGGGAAAGAGGTCTTCTATCTATAGGAAATCTATGGACTATTACCTTCTATCAATAGATGACATATAGAAGGTCTTCTACCCATAAAAAACCTATAAAAAATCTTCTATCCGTAGAAGATCTATAGAAGTTATTTTAACTGTGGATGACATATATAAAATCTTCTATCTGTAGTAGATCTTTGGAGCAATTTTTATCTATAGAAGACCTTTGGCGGGTCTTCTGCCTATAGAGAATTTTCGTGGTCATTAATTTGACGAGAGACCTCCTATGTTTATAAAATATCAGGAAAGGGAAAGCTATTGTTAAAAATGTCTAAGCAATATCTATGGAACTGCAAACTGTATTCTAATATGTATAAGAGGTCTTCCATTTATGGGAGATCTCCAATAGGAAATCTATGGACTATTACCTTCTATCAATAGATGACATATAGAAGGTCTTCTACCATAAGCGACCTATAAAAAATCATTCTATCCGTAGAAGATCTATATAAGTTATTTTAACTGTGGATGACATATATAAAATCTTCTATCTGTAGTAGATCTTTGGAGCAATTTTTATCTATAGAATACCTTTGGCCTATATCTTTCTGCCTATAGAGAATTTTCTATCTATAGAAGATCTACGGCGAGTCTTCTATCTATCGAAGTATCGAGTGTCTTTTGTTCATAGGAGACCTATAGGAGATCTACATTATATAGGATACCTATAGAATGTTTTACCTATAGAGTGTTTTATACCTATGGAAGGCCTATAGGTTATCATTCATCGGAGTGGCATTGTGATCACAGTACTTTAGGAGCTGTCGCAGAAACTCTCTTCGTACAAATATGGCGGCTTATTTTACAAAATCACATATTGTCCTTAGGCAATACAGTAGAGTATTTTAGACCCGATATTATGTCTATATTTATAAAAGAGTAACTTCTGAAACTAACTGTTCATTGATCAACGCCTACACAAGTAGGCTTGAATATTAAAACAAGCTAAAATTTCCTTAATTTTGTCCTTGTCGAACTTTTTATACCCTCCTGCATGTGGTGTGAATTCAAAAATTCTAAAATCGGTCGGAACCTTTATATGGGGTTGATGTTATTTGCATTAAAAATTACAGATACCCATTTTGTAAAACTGGGTAGGAACTTCAACAAACCGAATTAAACCCGACCATACGATACCCTACACAGCTATCACGAACCCTAACCTTTGAGATATTTGCACCCTCTTTACCGATTAGCTATCAACAGCACCTTATCCTTACACTGACATATTTTCCGAATATTCCCAATATTCAGTACAGCCATTCTAATGACTTGTCCAGATTCCCTTCAGGGTGGGTTGTTTTATTTGTTTGGCCTGTTGCCTATAGATCGACTCGAAAAAAAAACACAAACAATTAAGTTTTCGGTCCACTTCATCCCAAATTGTTTATGTGATAATCGCCGAAAATTATAGGCGTTGTCCTTGACCATAACTGGAACCTCTTGCGAAATTTAAAGCGATCAGCGATATATTTCTGCCCTATTGGTTATTAATGGGTTATTAAATAATATCTGAATACGTAAGCACCTGTAAATATTTAAGTGTAACTTCCACATCCGAGTACATACGACAATATAATTGGTATAAATTTAAAGGTCAACCACTCTTCTTGGATAGACTGTCAACTTCTCGGGTCTACATATGTCCTTCAGGAGTAAATAAATACGCCATAGAATACAAATTTTGTAATTTTCACACAAAAGTCAGGCTCCATTTGACCCGCTAAATATTGACCAATCTTTATCGAAATGGGCATGCTTATTCTTTGGCCCAATCCCCTCCTCTATGTAAAAAGTCGCCATGTTTAGGCCATAATTGCGGCCTCGGGAAATCAGACAAAAATAAAGTGTTTGGTCCATTTCATCACCTAAATATTAACCGATCTTTGCAAAAATAGGGGTCTTCTTTGGGCAGAACTCATCCTACTTTCTTGAAGATTGGTCCATAAAATATAATGGACAGACGGACGAACGGACGGACATACATGTCTAGACTAGTCGGACATACATGTCTAGACTAGTCTCAACTAGTCGGGATATGATGATCGGTATACTTAAAGGTGGGTCTAGGACCAATATTTCGCGGCGTTACAAATTCTTGGGGCTGCACAACACTATAATACCCTAACAACATAGTTGTGTAGGATATAGAAAGCAGAACTTTTGGTGTGTATTCAAAATTCGTAAATTCGGATAGAACCATTGTATGGCGATGATGTTATTCGATAATGTGGTAGTAGGTTCATGCTCGAAAAAAATAATGTTCCAAATTAGAGACACTCATATTGGAAAACTCGGTAGGAACTTCAACAAACCCAAAATAAAATGGGACGTTTGTATGGGAACTATTTAAGAAAAAAATTACCTATATTGAATAATTCACCTATATAATAATTATAGTCACTTCGAGGATAAAAATCGGTTAAAATCTTACCTCCAATGGCCAGAATGCCAAAATTGTAGCTACTTCGATAAAAAAAAACATCTGCACACGTCATCAAAATATCGATTTGAAAACATAAATCTATATTCTTCATTTTCTGTACATATGCAAGTGAGCCCTCAAGAATCCTTTGTAGGAAATTGCAGAAGAGAAGATTAAGAATCCGAAATAAAATAGAATCAACTGAGTTGAAAACCCTGTCCAAAACTCCCCAAAATTCCGAATAATGGGTGCACAGCTCTATGGTGTCTACCCTGGAATATGGATTTCAATAAAACTCGATAAGAATCTTGAATATTAAATTGGAACCACTCCGGTTAAAAATGAGTCCAAACACCCCGAAATATGGAATAATGGAAGTACCGGGGTCTACCCGGAAATAGGCCAATATTGATAATTTTTTGTAGGTTGAAAAACGGCCAGTCAACTTTAAAATACCGAACATTGGGGGTATTTAGATCTATATCCTAAATATGACGACCTCTATCGTGATTTTTACAGACGGACCTGCCTAATCCGACATAGGATTTTATTCTGGTAACTCCTTCATATAAAAACAGGTGTTCAAAAAAGACGCATCCACAATTTTTTACAATGGAAAAATTAGAAATGTGTGCTTTCATTGTAAAAAAATTGCGGATGCGTCTTTTTTGAAAACCTGTATCTATATGAAGGAGTTGCCAAAGAGATGGAATTTTCCAAAACACTTAACATTTTTCTGTTTATACCTCGGGTTTTGTGCTAGGCTAAGAACTTTCCTCTCGTATATACCTTAACGGCCCCGACGATATTTTCGGTGTACACCTTATTTAAAAATACAAATACTATACAAATGAACATAAAAAATGATAATTGTTTTCAAATAGTTTTATTTCGTAAAATTAAATAACAAATGTTCAAATTGCATATCACAGTCGAATCCATGCCACCCTTCTTAATGATGGATGGTGTAGGCAGCGGGGGCAAAAGTTTTTACCACGGGAGCAGTGTGTACGATGGGAGCAGAGTGAACAAATGTTGTGGGAGCCGAGTGGACATGAACAACAGGTTCAACAGTTTTCACCAAGGTGGGGACGTGTTCAACGGTCTTCACCACGGTAGGAACATGGGTTTCAACCGTTTTGACAATGGGTGCGGCATGGACGGTGGTCTTAACAACGGGAGTTACAATGGGTGAGACAACGGCTTTGTTGTGGACACGAGTAAAACTTTGATGTGAAGTGGCCGAGGGAACACTGTGGACCACGGCGCCAATTTTGGTGAGAACGGGTTCCTGGACAACGTGGTGGGTTTCAATCAGACCGCCATTGGCGGCAGCCAAGCAGAATAGGGCAATGATGGCAATCTGAAAATAAATGAGATTAATTAATATTTTTTTAATCCTGTGGGATATCTGGAGACACTGAAAACCTACAGATTTGAACATTTTGTTAAAGATTGGGATTGAGTGTTGTTGTTTGTTGAAATAGTTCGTATGAAACTGTTGTTGATGTCAGCAAACGATTTGGTTTATATACACTAGTTTAAAGAAAAATTACCAAAAACAAAAATGAGCGAAGCAGCAGAATTATTCTCAATGTTTGTTGTTTTATTTTTTACATTTTTTTAGAAAAATCCCTTCATTACTCGTTTTAGGTTTGCAAACGTCATTTTTATTTGTTGTAGGTTTTTTCATACCTCCATCTGGCTAACTTCTTGTTACTTGGAGTTGGCCTTCATCTTTGCCTGAACATTAATCTCCGTGGTTTTTAATTTAATTTTTTCTTTCTTATTTTGAGGAGTCTTTGACTGGCCCCTGTCTGGCAGAGTCGTCATCATTGTCTCGTAAAATCTCCTCAACGCCACCGATAAGCACAGATCATTGCGTCTGTGGACAGGCTTATGTCTTATTTTGTTGTTATTGTTTGTTTGTATGGAGATAACAACATTTTAGTACGCTAGTTGTTTTTTTTATTATTGAAATTCGGCTATAATCAAATTGTAGTAAGACAAAAAATGGGTAGGGGTTCGTTTTTTTGTTGTTAATTATTGTACTTTAATTGATGAAGGTTGTATTTGTTGTTGTAAGTTTTAGAGGTAAATTATTTTTTTATTGACAATGTAGTTTTTGAGCTATGTATGTATGTAAATGATTGGGCACTTTATGCCTGGCATGTAACACATATGACACTAATCAATTTTTTTTGGCGATTTTAAGAGATTAAAGCAAAATGAGAATTAAACTCGATCCTAAAGAGGTGTGGGAAGAAGATGGCGTAGATTAATAAAGCGTTGGCCCTTGAATAAATATTGTAGAGAGAATTCACGCTTGTGTTGGCCCTTGGATATTTTATTCTTTTGAAAAATCCAACCTTCTGTTGATCTTTGAAAAAGTGTAGGCTTATTAATGATCCTTGTAAAAATATCCTTTATATTTACAAGGTTGTTAATGGCTCTTGAAAAAATATTTTTTAAATTATCTACGCCTGAGATGGCTCTGAAAAAAATATTCTTTAATAATACCTTAATGCCTTAAAATACAGTGAGTGTAAAAAGTATTTTGCCTCAATAAAAATTTGAAAAAATTCCAATACATACGCCTGAAGCCAGCAAACTAAAGATGTAAAATGACTTATGTATGATGGAGTATATTTGTGGACATATTTAGATCGTATTTCTGCAAGAATCACAGCGAAAGACCTATTGGTCTCGAAGATATCGGCCGAAATATATAACAATCCAAAAATGTTTATCACAAAAAAGTATTTTGCTTTTTATTATTATTTTAGAAAAAATTGTTACATTGAACACGTTTGGTCTTTTTATAGTTACAATTGCGGTTAACCACATACTATAAGCGATTTGACCACGATTCCATTACATCACGGCATTTTTTCGTGGGTATTTTCTCACATTTACATTCAATACATTCTCCATCAGTATTTCATTTAATATTTGGTATTTTCTCGTCCTAATCTTAAGGTGAGAGTATTAGCCAAAATACGACCAAAAAATTATTTAAAAAAAAATCGCGAAACCCAATTTTTCTGACTTCAAAATTTGTATGGTCCAGTAATATTGATCTAGGAACCAATATATGCAATGTAAATACCAATAAGGGGGTCAGATTCAAAGATATGAACAGTTCTAAAGCAATAGTAATAAAAACCAATACATGAAGTTGGGAGAAAACATCATTATTCGTCAAATCCTATTGTCTTTTGAAAAACTGTGGTTGCTGGTGGCGAATACGCATTCTACATTTTATCTCCGATTAACACCATCAGTTGCGAATAAAATGCAGTAGGGAATAAACGGGTCGATGTATTTATTTTCGAAATAAGATGTATTTCTATTGCCAGAAAACCGTCCATATATTTGAATCTGACCTCCTTATTGCTATTTTCATCGTATATTTTGGTCCCTAGATCAGTAAAAATAAACCATAAAGTTTTCGAATTTAGAAAAATGGGGTTTCGCGATATTTTTTTAAATAATTTGTTTGTCGGATTTTGGTTTTAATAGTTTTTAAGGTCCTGTCCTCGCGATATATGTTGAAAAACCTCCTTTTTATTATTCTTAACATATTTGGGATGTTTTGAAGCCGCGATGACTATATTTAATACTCGTATTTTGAGATTAGGACGAGAAATTACCAAATATTGAATGAAATATTGCTGGAGAATGTATTGAACGTAAATGTGAGAAAATACTCGCGAAAAAATGCCGTGGAATCGTTGCCAAATCACTTATAGTATGTCGTTACCCGCAATGGTAACTATAAAAAGACCAAACGTGTTCTATGTAACAATTTTTTTCTAAAATAATAATAAAAAGCAAAATACTTTTTTGTGATAAACATTTTTGGATTGTTATATATTTCGGCCGATATCTTCGAGACCAATAGGTCTTTCGCTGTGATTCTTGCAGAAATACGATCTAAATATGTCCACAAATATACTCCATCATACATAAGTCATTTTACATCTTTAGTTTGCTGGCTTCAGGCGTATGTATTGGAATTTTTTCAAATTTTTATTGAGGCAAAATACTTTTTACACTCACTGTATATATTCTTTCCCTAGAAAAAATAAATAAAACCAGTGAGCGGAGCAGTATAGTCGGACGGGGCCGACCATATGATACCCTACCTAACTTCAACGAAAATCTAACTTTATGTGGTTCCATGTTCTAAGCTTGGGCAATATTTCGTGATATTTGCACCTTCTTGGCCGACAAGAGGTCTACAAATGTTACTAGTATTCAGTACAGCCCTTCTATACTTGTCTAGATTCCCTTCACCGTGGGTTGTGTTGTGATGTTCGGATTTTAATTGTGGCCTATATATCGACTCAAAAAAACACAACAAATTAAGTTTTCGGTCCACTTCATCCTAAAATTATTATCTGAACATCACGGAAAAGTATAGGCCTTGTCCTTGACCACAACTGGAACCTCATGGAAAATTTCAAAGGGATCGGCGCCTGTCAATATTTAAGTGTAACTTCCACATCCAAGTACAGACGACAATATAATTGATCAACCACTCCTCTTGGATATACTATCAACTTCTCCGGGTAATGTCCTTCAGGGGTAAATATATACGCCATTATATACAAATTTTATAATTTTTCACACAAAAGTGGCATGCTTATTCTTTGGCCCGATCCCCTTCTCCATGTAAAATGTCGCGATGTTTGGGCCATAATTGCGGCCTCTGGAGCGACCAAAAAAACCCCACAAAAATTTAGTATTTGGTCCACTTCATCCCCTAAATAGTAACCGATCTTTTCATTGGGCGTAACCAATCATACATGCAAAATTTCGTGAAGATTGGTCCATAACTGTATTGTGTTTACAAATTATAATGGACAGACGGACGGACATAGGGACACACATTTCTAGATCGACTCAGCTAGTCGAGATATGACGATCGGTATACATAAAGGTGGGTCTAGGACCAATATTTCGCGGCGTTACAAACTCTTGGGGCTGCACAAAGCTATGATTCCCTGACAACATATAACAATCTTTCTTTTAAAAACATGTCCAAGAGCCCTTTTGAATGTACAGCTTTTAAAAATGGTATAATAATTACTCTTAAAAATAATTATTAAAAAAATTGAACATTTCACCTATCTATAGAATACTTCTAGAAAATCTCATTGCTTTGCCCCAGTCAGGTACCAATAATACAATAATCTACAAAAAGAATAATAACAAAATCAAAAACGTTCATACCGAGATTAATGTGCAGTCACAGATGAAGGCCGACTTCAATCAAAAGAGAAGTTAGCTAGATCTTTGGATGAACCAATAACAACACAATCAAATAGCGTCTGCAAACTTAAAACGCGTAATGAAGGAACTTTTTTTGGAAAAATAAATCACACGCACACACCAATGAAGCAATACACAACTACTGAGAATTATTCTGCTGCTCTGCTCATTACTGTTGGTTAATCTCTCGTGTTTGGAGTTGTGTGTATAAAAACCATAACGTTTGCTGGAATCGACAACAGTTTCTTTCGAACTATTTCAACAAACAATTACACTCCATCCCAATCTTTAACAAAATGTTCAAATCTGTAGGTTTTCAATATCTCCAGGAAATCCGCTGAAATAAAAATATTATTAATTTTCCTTTTCTTCCAGATTACCATTATTGCCCTATTCTGCTTGGCTGCCGCCAATGCTGGTCTGATTGAAACCCATCACGTTGTCCAGGAACCCGTTCTCACCAAAGTTGGCGCCGTGGTCCACAGTGTTCCCTCGGCCACTTCACATCAAAGTTTCACTCGTGTCCACAACAAAGCCGTTGTCTCACCCATTGTAACTCCCGTTGTTAAGACCACCGTCCATGCCGCACCCATTGTCAAAACGGTTGAAACTCATGTTCCCACCGTTGTCAAGACCGTCGAACATGTTCCCACCGTTGTGAAAACTGTTCAACCTGTTGTTCATGTCCACTCGGCCCCCACAACATTTGTTCACTCCGCCCCCATTGTCCATACCGCCCCTGTGGTAAAAACTTTTGCCCCAGCTGCCTACACCATCCATCATTAAGAAGGGCAAATTGTTTCAACTGTGATATGTGCTTTGAACTTTTTGTTATTTAATTTTACGAATAAAATATAATTTTGGAAAAAAAACAATACAATGTTTGTATTATTTTCTGCAACCTACGCACAGGGTTGTCAAATTTTTCAATATGTCTTCGAAAAATTTTATAGATGAAAATCAGTGTGCGGAGCACACTACACAACTACCACGAAATGCTAACTTTCTGTAGCCTGAGCAATATTTCGTAATATTTGCACCCTTTATACTGATTATAGATCAACAACTTCACTTTCTAAACCTGGCATATTTCTTTTTTCTTGAAGTGAATTTTTACGCCATAAAATAAAAAATGGGTCACTTTAGGTTTTGGTTAGTTTGACCCTC